CAATCAGTTGTGATGTGACAAGGTAGGGGGGGCATACAGAAGATAGCCCTATCTGGTAAAAGACCAAGTCCATATTATGGCAAGAACAGCTCAAATAAGCAAAGAGAAACGACAGTCCATCATTACTTTAAGACATGAAGGTCAGTTAATACGGAACATTTCAAGAACTTTGAACGTTTCTTCAAGTGCAGTCGCAAAACCATCAAGTGCTATGATGAAACTGGCTCTCATGAGGACCGCCACAGGAATGGAAGACCCAGAGTTACTTCTGCTGCAGAGGATAAGTTCATTAGAGTTATCAGCCTCAGAAATTGCAGCCCAAATAAATGCTTCACGGAGTTCAAGTAACAGACACATCTCAACATCAACTGTTCAGAGGAGACTGTGTGAATCAGGACTTCATGGTCGAATTGCTGCAAAGAAACCAGTACTAAAGGACACCAATAAGAAGAAGAGACTTACAGGCTGTGTAAGGGCTATTTTACCAAGAAGGAGAGTGATGGAGTGCTACATCAGATGACCTGGCCTCCACAATCCCCCGACCTCAACAAAATTGAGATGGTTTGGGATGAGTCGGACCGCAGAGTGAAGGAAAAGCAGCCAACAAGTGCTCAGCATATGTGGGAACTCCTTCAAGACGGTTGGAAAAGCATTCCAGGTGAAGCTGGTTGAGAGAATGCCAAGAGTGTGCAAAGCTGTCATCAAGGCACAGGGTGGCTATTTGAAGAATCTCAAAAATAAAATATATTTTGATTTGTTTAACACTTTTTTGGGTTACTACATGATTCCATATGTGTTATTTCATAGTTTTGATGTCTTCACTATTATTCTACAATGTAGAAAATAGTAAAAAATAAAGAAAAAGCCTTGAATGAGTAGGTGTTCTAAAACTTTTGACCGGTAGTGTACAGTATGTGTAATGCATTTCTTTCCATAGAGGTCTGCTATTATTTGTCTGATTTCTATCTGTCTGGATCTGTGTAGAAGCGGGGATAGGAGTGTAGTGTTGTGTGATAGAGAGTTGGCGGTTGGCTTCAAAGAGATAGACTTTGTCGGTTGGTTATCCATGATTATTATCTTGGAGACTTTGTCTGCTGGTTATCCATGATATTATCTTGGAGACTTTGTCTGCTGGTTACTCATGATTATTATCTTACATTTATTTTACAGTCATTTAGCAGACGCTCTTATCCAGAGCGACTTACAGTTAGTGAATACAAGGGCATTGAAGATGAAACGTGGCTGGGTCTTTCAGCATGACAATGATTCCAAACACACCGCCCGGGCAACGAAGGAGTGGCTTCGTAAGAAGCATTTCAAGGTCCTGGAGTGGCCTAGCCAGTCTCCAGATCTCAACCCCATAGAAAATCTTTGGCGGGAGTTGAAAGTCCGTGTTGCCCAGCGACAGCCCCAAAACATCACTGCTCTAGAGGAGATCTGCATAGAGGAATGGGCCAAAATACCAGCAACAGTGTGTGAAAACCTTGTGAAGACTTACAGAAAATGTTTGACCTGTGTCATTGCCAACAAAGGGTATATAACAAAGTATTGAGAAACTTTTGTTATTGACTAAATACTTATTTTCCACCATAATTTGCAAATAAATTCATTAAAAATATTTTTAAGTGGGAGAACTTGCACAATTGGTGGCTGACTAAATACTTTTTTTCCCCACTGTATATTATGGAGGGTGGGACTTAAGCTCCATGCCTGTCTCACCCTACAGCCCTGTGGAAAGAAATGTGTGTGTTTTTAGCCAATTTTTTACCGCACACTTGTTGTTTGTGTACATCGATTTAATAAAGTCATATGTTTTTCCCCCAACACCACTTTCCATCAATTTGTATAGCAGACCCTCATGCCAAATTGAGTCAAAAGCTTTTTTGAAATCAACAAAGCATGAGAAGACTTTGCCTTTGTTTTGGTTTGTTTGTTTGTCAATTAGGGTGTGCAGAATGAATACGTGGTCTGTCGTACAGTAATTTGGTAAAAAGCCAATTTGACATTTGCTCAATACATTGTTTTCACTGAGGAAATGTACGAGTCTGCTGTCAATACAGATGATTTTCCCAAGGTTGCTGTTGACGCATATCCCACTGTAGTTATTTGGGTCAAATTTGTCTACACTTTTGTGGATTGGGGTGATCAGTCCTTGGTTCCAAATATTGGGGAAGATGCCAGAGCTAAGGATGACGTTAAAGAGTTTAAGTATAGCCAATTGGAATTTGTGGTCTGTATATTTTATCATTTCATTGAGGATACCATCAACACCACAGGCCTTTTTGGGGTGGAGGGTTTGTATTTTGTCCTGTAGTTCATTCAATGTAATTGGAGAATCCAGTGGGTTCTGGTAGTCTTTAATAGTTGATTCTAAGATTTGCAGTTGGTCATGTATATTTTCTTTGCTGTTTGTTCTTTGTTATATGACCAAAAAGATTGGAGAAGTGGTTCATCCATACATCTTGGAGGGTTAGTCTTTTGTCACAACTACTAGATTCATTCATTCTGAGCAGCTCTTTTCCTCTTTTTTCTCTCTTTCTTCACTCCTTTCGTTCGATGGGTTGGATCATCCACACACACACACACACACACACACACACACACACACACACACACACACACACACACACACACACACACACCCACCCCCACACACACACACACACACACACCAGGGTTTGGATCCCTGTCTAATTTCTAGCCGCAGTGGCAAAGGTCATTTTAGGAGATTTGAAAGAGAGATCCTCAGCGGAGTGGAGGACATTGAATTAGCGAGCTCTGTCAGTGGCAAGGCTTCCAAAGTCCTCTCTGACTCAAATAGGGAGAGGGTTACACACACACAGACACTCACACTCCCAGTCTCACAAAGAGACAGATACACACTGGCTCACACACCGCCGCAGAGGGAAATTATAAAAAATTCACTTGCAGCCCCATTGCAATAAAGTGCACCATAAAAGGGAATTGAATCTGTGAACAATTCAGCCTGATGATGTATGATCTCCAGTCTGGGTGAATCACTGTAAAGTCTGCTGCCTCAGCCTGCTGCACTGACACACTGAAACACACTGGAGAGAGCAACATCTCAGCGCACTAGAGGGACAACTAAAGAACCAGACTAGAAACACTATCTATAGTACCCTGGAAGAGAGTGGAGGTGGGGGTGGGAGACATACCACAGGGTGGAGGTGGGGGTGGGAGACATACCACAGGGGACAGGGTGGGGGTGGGGGTGGGAGACATACCACAGGGGACAGGGTGGAGGTGGGGGTGGGAGACAAACCACAGGGGACAGGGTGGAGGTGGGGGTGGGAGATATACCACAGGGGACAGGGTGGGGGTGGAGGTGGGGGTGGGAGACATACCACAGGGGACAGGGTGGAGGTGGGGGTGGGAGACATACCACAGGGGACAGGGTGGGGGTGGGGGTGGGAGACATACCACAGGGGACAGGGTGGAGGTGGAGGTGGGGGTGGGAGACATACCACAGGGGACAGGGTGGAGGTGGAGGTGGGAGACATACCACAGGGGACAGGGTGGAGGTGGGGGTGGGAGACATACCACAGGGGACAGGTGGAGGTGGGGGTGGGAGACATACCACAGGGGACAGGGTGGAGGTGGGGGTGGGAGACATACCACAGGGGACAGGTGGAGGTGGGGGTGGGAGACATACCACAGGGGGACAGGGTGGAGGTGGGGGTGGGAGACATACCACAGGGGACAGGGTGGGGGTGGAGGTGGGGGTGGGAGACATACCACAGGGGACAGGGAGGAGGTGGGGGTGGGGGTGGGAGACATACCACAGGGGACAGGGTGGGGGTGGAGGTGGGGATGGGAGACATACCACAGGGGACAGGGTGGGGGTGGGGGTGGGAGACATACCACAGGGGACAGGGTGGGGGTGGGGGTGGGAGACATACCACAGGGGACAGGGTGGAGGTGGGGGTTGGGAGACATACCACAGGGGACAGGGTGGGGGTGGAGGGGGGGTGGGAGACATACCACAGGGACAGGTGGGGTGGGGGTGGGAGACATACCACAGGGGACAGGGTGGAGGTGGGGTGTGGAGACATACCACAGGGACAGGTGGGTGGAGGTGGGGTGGGAGACATACCACAGGGACAGGGTGGAGAGGAGGTGGGGGTGGGAGACATACCACAGGGACAGGGTTTGGGGTGGGGGTGGGAGACATACCACAGGGGACAGGGTGGAGGTGGAGGTGGGAGACATACCACAGGGGACAGGGTGGGGTGGAGGTGGTGGAGACATACCACAGGGGACAGGGAGGAGTGGAGGTGGGGGTGGGAGACATACCACAGGGACAGGGTGGAGGTGGAGGTGGGGTGGAGACATACCACAGGGGACAGGGTGGGGGTGGGGGTGGGAGACATACCACAGGGACAGTGGGGTGGAGGTGGGGGTGGGAGACATACCACAGGGGACAGGGTGGAGGTGGGTGGTGGAGACATACCACAGGTGGGGGTGGAGGTGGGGGTGGGAGACATACCACAGGGTGGGGGTGGAGGTGGGGGTGGAGACATACACAGGGGAAGGTTGGAGTGGGGGTGGGAGACATACCACAGGGTTGGGGGTGGATGGTGGGCGTGGGGACTACCACAGGGGACAGTGGTGGATTGGTGGGGGTGGGAGACATAAACCACAGGGGACAGGGTGGAGGTGGGGGTGGGAGACATCCACAGGGACAGGGTGGAGTGGGAAATGGGAGAATACCACAGGGGACAGGGTTTGACGTGTGAGTGGGTAGAATACCCAGGGACAGGTTTAGGTGAGAGTGGGGATGGGAGACATACCACAGGGGACAGGGTGGAGGTGGAGGTGGGAGACTACCACAGGGAACAGGGTGAGTGCAGTTGGAGGGGGAGGAGCAGAGCCAGACATAAAGAGGGTTTAGCAATTATCTTCACCAACGCAATTATAAGTTTTTGAAGTGGATTAAATCCTGGCTGCTAACCTCTGGTTCCTACACCTGATATGTGATGATGATGATGATGATGATGATGCTGCTGCTGACGATGATGATGATGATGATGATGATGATGAGGAGGAGGAGGAGGAGGAGGAGGAGGATGTGTGTCTGTGTGTGTGATGTGTGTGTGTGTGACATCTTTGACGTCTGACGTCTGTGTGTTTTCCCAGGTGGCCGAGCAGCTGATGACCATAGCGTATGAGAGTGGAGTCAACCTGTTTGACACGGCGGAGGTTTACGCTGCTGGAAAGTGAGTCAGGATGTAATAAAAGTCCTTATACATTTTGAATGGAAGAGAGTGAACGTTATTTATAATAAAAGTTACATGGAGAAAATCAGACCTCTCTGAAAGGAAAACGGATGGCCCTCCCTTCAGTAAAATATATTTTACCTAAACCCTCCCTGAACGCTTGAAAAAAACAAGTGACCCTCCCCTCTACCCAAAATAATAATTAAAACATAAAGTGGACGGCAGAGAACATGTCTACCATTTACCCTCACTCCTAGGACTGACCAGAGCCTTAGATAACTGTTCTTTGTCCTGTAAGCATTGCATGGCAAAGCAGAAATTTGACTGAAACTGAAAAAGCATGACCCTCCCCCATTTTGGTCTAGGTTTCCATTGTGTAAATGTCGATCCATCCCTTATAGAAAGTGATGGTCATCTATGTAGTGTACAGTATAATGACGGGCATTGCATTCCAGAGCTGAAGTCATATTGGGTAACATCATCAAGAAGAAGTGCTGGAGGTATGTTACAGTGAGTGTGAGTGTGAGTGTGTGTGTGTGTGTGTGTGTGTGTGTGTGTGTGTGTGTGTGTGTGTGCGTGCGTGTGCATGTGTGCGTGTACCTGTGTGTGTGTGTGTGTGTGTGTGTTTATGCCTGTGTGGGTTTGTTTGTGCATGTCTGTGTATGCGTGTGTGTGTGTGTGTGGTGTGTGTGTGTGTGTGTGTGTGTGTGTGCGTGTGTGTGTGTGTGTGTGTGTTTGTGCGTGCGTGTGTGTTGTGTGTGTTGTGTGTGCGTGCGTGCGTTGGTGTGTGTGTGTGTGTGTGTTTGTGTGTGTGTGTGTTTATGCCTGTGTGGGTTTGTTTGTGCATGTCTGTGTATGCGTGTGTGTGTGTGTGTGTGTGTGTGTGTGTGTGTTGTGTGTGTGTGGTTGTGTGTGTGTGTGTGTGTGTGTGTGCGTGTGTGTGTTTGTGTGTGGTGTGGTGTGCGTGCTTGCGTGCGTGATGTGTGTGTGTGTGCGTGCGTGTGTGTGGTGTTGTGTGTGTGTGTGTGTGTGTTGTGTTTATGCCTGTGTGGGTTTGTTTGTGCATGTCTTTGTATGCGTGTGTGTGTGTGTGTGTGTGGTGTGTGTGTGTGTGTGTGTGTGTTGTGTGTGTGTGTTGTGTGTGTGGCAAGCATGCCTGTGTGTGTTACGTCTCTCTACATCTCCTTGTCTTATTGATGTGTCCTAGCTGTAATGTCATAATGTTCTGTCACTGCAGTGTGTTCCCTCTCATTGTTGAACTGTTACATCATTATGTAATGGAACTGCCTGGCAGTGCAGAATGTAGGACTCATACACCACCATTTACACTCATCTATATGGACATAATGATGAGGGAGGGAGGGAGGGAGGGAGGGATGGGAGGGGTAGGGGGAGGAGAGAGAGAGATAGAGAGAGAGAGAGAGAGAGAGAGAGAAAGAGTGAGAGAGAGAGACCAAGCTGACGCCAGCACTGCTTCAAAAGAAATAATTCAAATAAATAAAATGAACCAATCAAAGGACTCATATTTACAACATTGGAAAAACAAACAAAATCCCAAAGCCGACTAAATTGCTAACTGGCACTAAACAGAGAATATAAATTGGCTGATTATCTCTACTCTGTCAGAGATACGAACCAGAGACAGATCCTTACCAAGTACAGGCTGAGTGACCACCAATTGGCAATAGAAACCGGCAGACATAAAAAGACATGGCTACCCAAAGAGGAGTGTGTATGTGGTCACTGCACGACAGGGGAGGTAGAAACAGAGATGCATGTTCTCCTTTACTGTGAGAAATATTCCCCACCAAGAGATTCATTATTCACAGAAATTACTACATTTATTCCAAATTTTAACTGATTAAACCCAGAGGAAAAACTAAAAATAATCATGGGCGAAGGAGCAACGGCTCCTCTTGCAGCCAAATATCTATTTGCCTGCCATAGCCTGAGGGACACTGAATAATAACATCTGCATAGTAAACAGTAACTTACTTATTATTATTATTATTATTGTTATTATTATTATTAGTAGTAGTAGTAGTAGTAGTATTGTTGTGATTATTATTCCAAATAGTAGTATGGGTAGTCAGGGTGATGGTAATGATAGCAGTTTAATGATGGTGGTGGTAGTAGTAGGAGTAATGATTATGGTAGTTGTGGTACTGATGTAATGGTGAGGATGACAGTTAGTTAGTTTCATTTTCCATGTTTAGCCTTTTATATGTATTATATTTCTACAATTGTCTTGTTGTTATTTTGTTTTTGTTTTTTATTTGTATTATTATTTACTACCATTTTTTATTATTATTCTTTATTATTTTATTTCAATGTATATTGTATACATTGTTGCTTTGGCAATATTGACGCAATGTTTTTCATGCCAATAAAACAGCTTGAATTTGAAAGTTGAGAGAGAGAGGGTCAGATGATGTAATTAGAGAAACACAATGGCCTTCTTAATCACTTTGATAACTGTCATCTCTCTCCCCTCTCTCTCTCCATCTCCCCCTCCCTCTCACTCTCCCTCTCCCTCTCCCTCTCCCTCTCCCTCTCTCCCTCTCCCTCTCCCTCTCCCTCTCCCTCTCCCTCTCCCTCTCCCTCTCTCTCCCTCTCCCTCTCCCTCTCCCCTCTCCCTCTCCCTCTCCCTCTCCCTCTCCCTCTCCCTCTCTCCCTCTCCCTCTCCCTCTCCCTCTACCCTCTCCCTACTCCCTCTCCCCTCTCCCTCCTCCCTCTCCCTCTCTCTCTCTCTCTCTCTCTCTCTCTCTCTCCCTCTCCCTCTCGCTCGCTAGACGATCAAGTTTGGTCATCACTACCAAGCTGTACTGGGGAGGAAAGTAAGTTCCTGTTGAAAAAGTCTAACTTGTGTCTCATAATGCAGAGCTCAGCTGACTAGGAGGAAAATACATTGTCTGATAACTCACACACACACACACACACACACACACACACACACACACACACACACACACACACTGCAGAGGTTTTAGATAGCCTCTCAGCTCCATGGTGCATGGTGGCAGGCAGTCACAGCTGGGAGTAGTGATAAGGATGATAAGGATGATAAGGATGATAAGGATGATAAGGATGAAGGTGTAGATTATTTCTTCCCTCGTTCATCCTTCATGAATATTCATCACTCCATCCTTCTGCAGGAGAAGGAGAGGATTGTAGTTGAAGACTCTAAACACACACTCACACCCACTTACTGTACATGAAACACACACACACACACCACACACACACACACACACACACACTCACCCACACACACACACTCACCCACAAACACCCACACACAGAAGCGTGCAAACACTGACAAGGACACAGCAGTTGGGCCATGTAGGTTGACTACCAGCAGTGAGTTGAAAAACATAGTTTAATGTGTAGTTTTTCTCTCCTGTCTGTGTGTCTGTGCCCACAGAGCAGAGACTGAGAGAGGCCTTTCAAGGAAACACATTATTGAAGGTAAGACCACACAGGCACGCGCACACACACACACATTTTTTTTTACACACATTACCCCATCTGACCCTATCTCACCCCATCTCACCCCATCTCACCCTATCTCACCCTATCTCACCATGTCTCACCCTATCTCACTGTATCTCACCCTATCTCACCCAGTCTCTCCCCTGTGAACTGTATTGATTGATATCTCCCCTCCTCCTCTCCTCAACACTCCTCCTCTCCTCTTCTCTCCTCTCCCCTCCTCCCATCCCCCTCTCCTCTCCCCACCTCTCCTCTCCATTCCCCTCCTCCTCTCCTCTCCTCAACCCTCCTCCTCTCACCTCCTCTCTCTCCCCTCCTCTCTCTGTCCAGGTCTGAAGGGCTCCCTCCAGAGGTTGCAGCTGGAATACGTAGATGTGGTCTTCGCAAACCGCCCCGACACCAACACACCCATGGAGGGTGAGTCAGTCTATCAGCATTCATCATTGGGGACCAAGCTGCCAGTCTAAGTCAGGAGGGCAATTGGTTGATTAGTCTCATTGCCTGAAATACTACAATCGGATTGGTAGGAAGCAGTGGATTTGCTCTACCAGGCTAACAAACAGAGAATAATCAAGATTTCATTTTAGCCTGAGGTTTATCTATCTATCTATCTATCTATCTATCTATCTATCTATCTATCTATCTATCTATCTATCTATCAAAGAAAGTCTCTTAAAGGCTCTGCATGGTCAATCTGACGTCTGTTCCCCCTTAAAGGCTCTGCATGGTCATCTGACGTTGTTCCCCTTAAAGGCTCTGCATGGTCAATCTGACGTCTGTTCCCCCTTAAAGGCTCTGCATGGTCAATCTGACGTCTGTTCCCACTTAAAGGCTCTGCATGGTCAATCTGACGTCTGTTCCCCCTTAAAGGCTCTGCATGGTCAATCTGACGTCTGTTCCCCCTTAAAGGCTCTGCATGGTCAAACTCTGACGTTCTGTTTCCCCCTTAAAGGCATCTGGGACTGTCTGTTCCCCCCATTCAAAAGGCTCTGCATGGTCAATCTGACGTCTTGTTCCCCCTTAAAAGGCTCCTCTGCATGGTCAATACCGGTTTCTGCATTGGCCGTGCAGCATTTACGGTGATACAGCCTCTGCAGAAGCACTTTGAAGAGCAGCCCAGATACACAGGACCTCCCGCCCTCACCTACCGTCAACCAATCATGTCAATTTGGCCTCTGCTTGCCTCTAGAGGCTCTCTCCGTACAGAGCCTCTGACTACATTTTCAGATCAAGCATCAAAGTGTCTTTCACTCCGTTCCAGACAGCACAGCCCCGATAGATTAGAGCGGAGAGGGAACAAGAGAGGAGAGACAGCAGAGAGAGAGATAAGAGAGAGGAGAGAAGAGAAGATCGAGAGAGCTAGCGAGGATATATCTATAGATAGAGAGCGAGATAGAGTAGAGAGCATAGAGAATGAGAGAGAGACATCGAGATATATGATAGCGATACAATCTCGAGCGAGCCATCTATATCACATACAAAGCTGCTATATATAGCTGAGAGAGCTAGATAGATCGAGAGAGATATAGAGTGATATTTACTACAGAGAGAGCGAGAGGAGAGAGTAGTACTAATATGACATTTGAAATTTCTTTATTCTTTTGGAACCCTTTTGTAAATGCTTACTGTTAATTTTTTATTGTTTTATTCACTTTTGTTTATCATTATTTTCACTGCTTTGGCAATGAAAGCCTTGTTTCCCATGCCAATAAAGCCCCCTTAAATGAAATTGGAAATTGACATTGAGTGTGAGAGAGAGAGAGAGAAGAGAGCTAGAGAGCGCGCGAGATCGACTATCTAGACGAAGTCATTGTGAATTTCCCCCTTTCGGCATGTATCAGATGTTGTCTTAAGAATAGAGCCATTGCAACACAGACAAGTGCCAAATAATGGATGATTAACATTCCCAGTGTGTGTCTGTGGTTTGAGGAGTTTGTGTTTTATAAGTGTGTGTGTGTGGGAGGGTCTTTGTGCACCTCCAGCAATTAGTTTTTTTCAAAACCAAAGCGTATAAGACTGGATGAGTGGCCTTGGTCAAATGTGTATTGTACATCCAGTTCTGTGTGTTGAACAACTTCACACCATCATTCATATCTGAGAGAGCTTCAGTAGAGATGTCACAGATCACTACATGGTTGATGAAGTGAGTCAGAGTCTCACACACACACACACACACACACACACACACACACACACACACACACACACACACACACACACACACACACACACACACACAGACACACACACCCACCCCCACACACACACACACACACACACCTAGATCTTCTGCACAGATTCTGTCAACCTGGGCCCTGACAGTAAATCTCAGTAAGACAAAAATAATGGTGTTCCAAAAAAGGTCCAGTTGCCAGGACCACAAATACAAATTCCATCTAGACACCATTTTTACATTTAGCCAACACTCTTATCCAGAGCGACTTACAGTTAGTGAGTGCATTCATGATGATTTTTTTTAATTTTATTGTATTATTTTTTCATACTGGCCCCCCGTGGGAATCAAACCCACAACCCACATGCTCTACATCCCTGCCGGCCATTCCCTCCCCTACCCTGGACAATACTGTGCCAATTGCGCGCCGCCCCATGGGTCTCCCGGTCGCGGCCGGCTACGACAGGAATACATAGATTCGAACCAGGATCTCTAGTGGCACAGCTAGCACTGCGATGCAGTGCCTTAGACCACTGCGCCACTCGGGAGACGGGAGACACCGTTGCCCTAGAGCACTATAACTACCTCGGACTAAACATCAGCGCCACAGGTAACTTCCACAAAGCTGAGAACGATCTGAGAGACAAGGCAAGAAGGGCCTTCCATGCCATCAAAAGGAACATAAAATTCGACATACCAATTAGGATCTGGCAAAAAATACTTGAATCAGTTATAGAACCCATTGCCCTTTATGGTTGTGAGGTCTGAGGTCCGCTCACCAACCAAGATTTCACAAAATGGGACAAACACCAAATTGAGACTCTGCATGCAGAATTCTGCAAAGATATCCTCTGTGTACAACGAAAAACACCAAATAATGCATCAAAATCCAGAAAAGAGCTGTTAAATTCTATAACCACGTAAAAGGAAGCGATTCCCAAACCTTCCATAACAAAGCCATCACCTACAGAGATATTAACTTGGAGAAGAGTCCCCTAAGTAAGCTGGTCCTGGGGCTCTGTTCACAAACACAAACAGACCCCACAGAACCCCAGGACAACAACACAATTAGACCCAACCAAATCATGAGAAAACAAAAAGATAATTACTTGACACCTTGGAAAGGATTAACAAAAAAACAGAGCAAACTAGAATGCTATTTGGCTCTAAACAGAGAGTGAGGCAGAAAACCTGACCAGTGTAACTGACCTAAAATTAAGGAAAGCTTTGACTATGTACAGACTCAGTGAGCATAGCCTTGCTATTGAGAAAGGCCGCCGTAGGCAGACCTGGCTCTCAAGAGAAGACAGGCTATGTGCACACTGCCCACAAAATGAGGTGGAAACTGAGCTGCACTTCCTAACCTCCTGTCAAATGTATGACTACATTAGTAGACACATATTTCCCTCAGATTACACAGATCCACAAAGAATTTGAAAACAAACCCAATTTTAATAAACTCCCTTATCTACTGGGTGAAAAACCACAGTGTGCCATCACAGCAGCAAGATATGTGACCTGTTGCCACAAGAAAAGGGCAACCAGTGAAGAACAAACACCATTGTAAATACAACCCATATTTATGTTTATTTATTTTCCCATTTGTACTTTAACTATTTGCACATCATTACAATATACATAATTTGACCTATTGAAATGTCTTTATTATTTGGGAAACTTCTGCGTGTAATGTTTTACGTTAATAATTTATTGTTTATTTTCACTTTTGTTTACTTCTACTTCACTTGCTTTTGGCATCGTTAAACTTACGTTTCCCATGCCAATAAAGCCCTTAAATTTGACATTGAGAGGGGAGAGAGAGGAGGAGAGGGAGATAGAGAGAGAGACAGAGACACAGAGAGAGAGAGGGCAACAGAGAGAGAGAGAGAGAGGAGGAGGAGAGATTGAGAGAGAGAGGGAACGAGAGAGAGAAGAGAGAGAGCAAGAGGAAGAGAGGAGGAGAGAGAGAGAGAGAGAGAGAGAGAGGAGAGGAGAGGAGATAGGAGAGAGAGAGAGGAGAGAGAGAGAGAAACAGCGATAGAGAGAGACACAAGCACAAACACCAAAGTAAATTAAACCCATATTTATCTGTTTACTTATTTTCCCTGGTCATTTGTACTTGTACTTTTAGCACATTGTAACAACAAGGTACCTAGTTCATAACAACACGGTACATATTTAATAACAACACATAACATAGTTAATAATATAACATTTCAAACGTCTTTCTCTTGTGTTTAATGTTAAATGTTGATTTGCGATTGCTTATTTCACTTGCTTTGGCAATGTAAACATTTTGTCCCATGCCAATAAAGCCCCTTTGAATTTAATTGAGAGACAGAGAGAGAGAGAGAGAGAGAGAGAGAGAGAGGCACAATGGTATTTACTGAGCTCTATGTGAGTTGCGTGAACCTGCGGATGTTTGTTAATTACTGGTGTGTGTGTGTGTTCTTGTACCGCGTTTTAAAGAAAAGCGAGAGGCAGAAATGGAATACAACGGGGAGTTGGATCCCTGCCCCTCTTCTGACCCATTGCCGTTTTCTTTAGTTAGATCACATTTGATTTATTGTACTTTTCCTGTTTACTTAATCTCTTCCTCAGTCTGTCTTTCCTTCTCTCTGTCTCTCTTCATTACATCATCTCTTTTAGTGTTTTTTATCTTGGTGAGCATCAGTTGTCTGTGTCTCTGAGCCCACAGTGACAATAGTATAGCTCTCCTGTTTGGTACAAATCAGTCATTGATTGACAATGCTGTAATTTGCCCATGGTGGGCTTTGGAAGTTTAAATTCCCTAACCAGGAGTGTACTTTCCCCTCATCATTTCCCCTCCCCTAGCCCTGGTCCTGATAGGTACCAGCTACACATGGCTGAGAACAATAACAGAGGTCATCTAAGGCTCCCTGCACAGTGTGTTGTAGCTCAGATGCTAGTTTTGGAGCTAGTTGCTTCATTAATAATGTACTGGTGGTTTGCAGCGCCGTTAGAACTTTAGCCTGTCCTTGGTCATGAGTGAGCTCATTAGAGAAGTGTGGAAAAATGAATTGTCAGGAGGAGCGAGAGAGGGATCAGGGGATGGGTTGGTGGCCTTCAAGGGTAGTTGGGTCATTGTCAGTCCATTAAGACTACAGTGTCCCCTGGTGGTATAATATGCACACTACCAGTCAAAGGTTTGGTCACACCTGCTCATTCCAGGGTTTTTCTTTATTTTTTACTATTTTCTACATTGTAGAATAATAGTGAAGACATCAAAACTATGAAAAAACACATATGGAATTATGTGGTAACCAAAAAAGTGATAAACAAATTCTTCAAAGTAGCCACCCTTTGCCTTGATGACAGCTTTGCACACTCTTGGCGTTCTCTCTACCAGCTTCATGAGGTATGCCAAGAGTGTGCAAAGCTCCAGGGATCCCAGAATTCCCTCACACACATGCATCCAATGAGCTGATGGACTGACTGATGATTTGATCGGTGATTTGATTGATTTATGTTCTCATCTCAGAGATTGTGAGAGCCATGACGTATGTGATCAACCAGGGGATGTCCATGTACTGGGGGACATCTCGATGGACAGCCATGGAGATCATGGTGAGTTAACCCTATCAACTTTAACTCCTGACCCTTAACCCTTACTCATGTACTAGGGGACGTCTAGATGGACAGCCATGGAGATCATGGTGAGTGTCAAAACATCTCTACAACCCTCACACAACCTTCACTCAACCTGTGGAAAACTCTCATTACAAATCATGCTCATACAGCAAGTCTACATTGAACGTTCCCAGACTTTCTGCACCTTTGTACTCAGACACTTTTTCATGATATTTTATTGTGTCTGTGAGCCCTCAAAGGAACTCATCTATCTATACCAGGGGGGTCAAACATACGGTCTACACCAGGGGGGTCAAATATATGGTCTACACCAGGGGGGTCAAATATATGGTCTACACCAGGGGGAGAGAGAGAGAGAGATCAAATACATTGCTCCTGCATTTTCAGCATGTTTTTACAAAAAATATAGATTTAGAGTTAGATAAACTTGGATTTTTTGGCAGGGACACATACAGGATGCTACCCTCCATAACATAACCTTCATTCCAAACCAAAACTCCAAACCTACAACCTGATTTTGGACGGAATTACCTGGAAAGCTTTCTACTACCAAGGATTACTATTCTCAAGCTATACAGCAAATGCTCTGGCAAACAAACAGAAACCTGAAACACCATGGAACTGAGTGAGTAATGTTTAGTCTGAAGCTATTTTTTACTTTCAAAAACCAAGAAGAAAAATACATTACAATGATATATTTTACTTTATAAGGACTGAATGCTAAGGCTACCAAGCTTGTTAGTACAAAGAGATACAATTTCAATTAGCACTGACGTGTGAAGTGAGAGGTGTCAAAGCCCTTGAGCCCAACAATGGCAGGAGAGTCGCACAGTCTACCCCAACCAAATGGAGAGGCCTTAGAAGCACCCTCCCGCTGTTCAGAGGTAATTAAAATACAGTACCCTCTGAATGTAAAGAATGATAAGACACGAAAAGAGTACAAAATGAAACTCCTTTTGGGAAATCAGGAGACACTTTTTGCTGACTTTTATAAAAATGGGAACATAAGCAACCTTATCTTCCACACAGACCATCCCCTGGCATGGCACAGTGCTATACTAGCACACTACCCCTCTGTTAAGAGGGGGGGTGTTAGCGATGGGTGGAAACTCAGGAGACTAGACAATGAGGACTCTGAGTCATCTAATATAAATCTCTATAAATCTGGAACTGTTTTGGTACAGGGCAACACCAAACAGTTCCAGCTGGACTTTCACCTAATCAAATAAATAGCTCAGCAGGAGAAGCTCTCCCTTGAGAAAGATACCCCCACCCGAGCGGGTCAGACCAGACCTCTTCATTAAATAACCCCACAGAGCAACCCCAAGCGGAAAGTCAACTTCCCAGCACAGAGTACTACTCCCTCATTGAAATTAAGGATACATTCACCCAACTGGAGGTAAGGCAGGTGGAGCTGGAACAGCAGGTGAACACACTCCAGTCAGCACAGACCCAGACAACAGTCCAGCACAACAACACCCCCTTAACTAGACCTGGAGAGCTGGAGGTAGAGAGAGACATGTCTGCACTCTGGACTGTGGTGAGACAACATCAATAGGAGAAAGAGCAGGAGTAGGAGAAGAACAGAGCACTGGAGGAGAGGATCAGAGTGCTGGAGGAAAGGTGAGAATGATGATGGGTGACAGAGAACAACCCATTAGAGAGCTGGCCACCCCTGCAGAGAATCCAGCAGAACAGCCCACCTCAGATCCTGGCCAAAGTCTCGACACCACAGCAGAACAGTCCACCCTAGACCCTGACCATAGCCTCGACATCACAGCCGGACAAACAAATGAAGAACCCCAAGCCCTGGGGATCCCAAACCCTCTGAGCACCACCCCTGTCAGCCACCCTGATAGCCCTCATGACGACCCCCCCCACACCCACTGAGGACATACACAAGCCACAGATTATACTCCTTATGGACTCAAACGGGAAATACATACAAGAAAATAAACTTTTTCTCAAACACACAGTGTCTAAACTCTGGTGTCCAAACACCCAGCATGCCCTAGACCTTCTGTCTGAGGACCAACTAGGATCACCCAGCCACATAATAAGACACACAGGCACAAACGACCTGAGAACACAGCAGGAAAGGGTGGCCACAGCACTCAAGGGAGTGATAGAAAAAGCTTCTTCTACTTTCCCCAACGCACAAGTGGTTATCTCAACCCTGCTACCACGAAAAGACTTCCACCCTGCTACCATACAGCAGGTAAACGCAAGTATTTCCCGTGACTGTGCATCAAAACCAAATGTCTACCTGGCCCACCACTTCACCCTGGACATGAACAGCCTTTATGACCAGGTCCACCTATACAAGGCAGCAGTGCCCACCTTCGCCCGGACCCTAAAGGATATCGCCCTCAACCGCAGACCCAACACCTCACACAGGAGCAACAGATCAACAGACACCCCGCCCAGACCAGCGAGAGACACTCTCCCAGGCCTGCGAGACACCCCCCCCCCCCCCAACCCCCACTCTTACACTAGCCGAAGCCAATGGCATGAAACAGATGCTCAGCAGGCTCTGCTCACAATTACTGGCCTGAGGCCAAACCACACGACCAACAACATTGGACACTTTATGGAACACAAAGCCTTCACTATTTCATCCTGGAATATCCAAGGCCTGAGGTCATCTGCCTTTGGCCTTAAGAGCAGGAACCTGGACTTCACCAAAGAAATCGGAAATACAGACATTGTCATCCTACAAGAAACATGGTATAGAGGAGACGGACCCACTTGTTGCCCTCTAGGTTACAGAGAGCTGGTAGTCCCATCCACCAAACTACCAAGTGTGAAACAGGGAAGGGACTCAGGGGGTATGCTAATTTGATATAGAGCAGACCTAACTCATTCTATTTAATTAATCAAAACAGGAACATTTTACATTTGGCTAGAAATTCAAAAGGAAATTATCTCAACAGAGAAAAATGTCCTCCTGTGTGCTACCTATATCCCCCCACTAGAATCCCCATACTTTAATGAAGACAGCTTCTCCATCCTGAAGGGGGAAATCAATCATTTCCAGACCCAAGGACATGTACTAGTCTGTGGCGACCTAAATGCCAGAACTGGACTAGAACCTGACACCCTCAGTACACAGGGGGACAAACACCTACCTGGAGGTGACAGCATTCCCTCCCCCATATACCCTTCTAGGCACAACTACGACAACATAACCAACAAAAACGGGTCACAACTCCTGCAGCTCTGTCGCACACTGGGTATGTACATAGTCAATGGTAGGCTTCGAGGGAACTCCTATGGTAAGTACACCTATAGCTCATCTCTTGGCAGTAGTACTGTAGACTACTTTATCACTGACCTCAACCCAGAGTCTCTCAGAGCGTTCACAGTCAGCCCACTGACACCCCTATCAGACCACAACAAAATCACAGTCTACAGTACTTGAACAGAGCAATACTCAATCATGAGGCATCAAAGCCAAAGGAACTGAATAATATTAAGAAATGCTATAGATGGAAGGAAAGTAGTGTCGAAACCTACCAAAAAACAATTAAGCAACAACAAATTCAATATCTTTTAGACAACTTCCTGGACAAAATGTTCCACAGTAATAGTGAAGGTGTAAACTTGGCAGTAGAAAACCTAAACAGTATATTTGACCTCAGCTTCCCTATCAAATCTAAAAATCTCTAACAGAAAACCGAAGAAAGGTAACAACAGTGACAAATGGTTTGATGAAGAATGCAAAAACCTAAGAAAGAAATTGAGAAACCTATCCAACCAAAAACATAGAGACCCAGAAAACCTGAGCCTACGCCTTCACTATGGTGAATCACTAAAACAATACAGAAATACACTACAGAAAAAGAAGGAACAGCATGTCAGAAATCAGCTCAATGTAATTGAAGAATCCATAGACTCTAACCACTTCTGGGAAAATTGGAAAAAATGAAACAAACAACAGCACGAAGAGCTATCTATCCAAAATGGAGATGTATGGGTAAACCACTTCTCCAATCTTTTTGGCCATAAAACAAAGAACAAACAGCAAAAAATATATACATGATCAAATGCAAATCTTAGAATCAACTATTAAAGACTACCAGAACCCACTGGATTCTCCAATTACATTGAATGAACTACAGGACAAAATACAAACCCTTCAACCCAAAAAGGCCTGTGGTGTTGATGGTATCCTCAATGAAATGATAAAATATACAGACCACAAATTCCAATTGGCTATACTTAAACTCTTTAACATCATCCTTAACTCTGGCATCTTCCCCAATATTTGGAACCAAGGACTGATCACCCCAATCCACAAAAGTGGAGTCAAATTTGACCCCAATAACTACCGTGGGATATGCGTCAACAGCAACCTTGGGAAAATCCTCTGCATTATCATTAACAGCAGACTAGTTCATTTCCTCAGTGAAAACAATGTATTGAGCAAATGTCAAATTGGCTTTTTACCAAATTACCGTACGACAGACCACGTATTCACCCTGCACACCCTAATTGACAAACAAACAAACCAAAACAAAGGCAAAGTCTTCTCATGCTTTGTTGATTTCAAAAAAGCTTTTGACTCAATTTTGCATGAGGGTCTGCTATACAAATTGATGGAAAGTGGGGTTGGGGGAAAAACATACGACATTATAAAATCCATGTACACAAACAGCAAGTGTGCGGTTAAAATTTGAAAAAAACTTCTTTCCACAGGGCCGTGGTGTGAGACAGGGACGTAGTTTAAGCCCAACCCTCTTCAACATATATTTCAACGAATTGGCGAGGGCACTAGAACAGTCTGCGGCACCCGGCCTCACCCTACTAGAATCTGAAGTAAAATGTCTACTGTTTGCTGATGATCTGGTGCTTCTGTCACCAACCAAGAAGGGCCTACAGCAGCACCTAAATCTTCTGCACAAATTCTGTCAGACCTGGGCCCTGACAGTAATTCTCAGTAAGACAAAAATAATGTTGTTCCAAAAAAGGTCCAGTTGCCAGGACCACAAATACAAATTCCATCTAGACACCGTTGCCCTAGAGCACACAAAGAACTATACATACCTCGGCCTACACATCAGCGCCACAGATAACTTCCACAAAGCTGTGCATGATCTGAGAGACAAGGCAAGAATGGCCTTCCATGCCATCAAAAGGAACATAAAATTTGACATACCAATTAGGATCTGGCTAAAACTACTTGAATCAGTTATAGAACCCATTGCCCTTTATGGTTGTGAGGTCTGGGGTCCGCTCACCAACCAAGAATTCACAAAATGGGACAAACACCAAATTGAGACTCTGCATGCAGAATTTTGCAAAAATATCCTCAATGTGCAACGAAAAACATCAAATAATGCATGTAGAGCAGAATTAGGCCGATACCCGCTAATTATCAAAATCCAGAAAAGAGCCGTTAAATTCTATAACCACTTAAAAGGAAGCGATTCCCAAACCTTCCATAACAAAGCCATCACCTACAAATAGATCAACTTGGAGAAGAGTCCCCTAAGTAAGCTAGTCCTGGGGCTCTGTTCACAAACACAAACAGACCCCACAGAGCCCCAGGACAACAACAACAACACAATTCGACCCAACCAAATCATGAGAAAACAAGAAGAGAATTACTTGACACATTGGGAAGAATTAACAAAAAAAACAGAGCAAACTAGAATGCTATTTGGCTCTAAACAGAGAGTACACAGTTGTAGAATACCTGACCACTGTGACTGACCCAAACTTAAAGAAAGCTTTGACTATGTAAAGACTCAGTGAGCATAGCCTTGCTATTGAGAAAGGCCGCCATAGGCAGACCTGGCTCTCAAGAGAAGACAGGCTATGTGCACACTGCCCACAAAATGAGATGAAAACTGAGCTGCACTTCCTAACCTCCTGCCAAATGTATGACCATATTAGAGACACATATTTCCCTCAGATTACAGAGATCCACAAAGAATTCGAAAACAAACCCAATTCTGATAAACTCCCTTATCTACTGGGTGAAAAACCACAGTGTGCCATCACAGCAGCAAGATTTGTGACCTGTTGCCACAAGAAAAGGGCAACAATTGAAGAACAAACACCATTGTAAATACAACCCATATTTATGTTTATTTATTTTCCCATTTGTACTTTAACTATTTGCACATTGTTACAACACTGTATATATATATATATACATAATATGACATTTGAAATGTCTTTATTCTTTTGGAAGTTCTGAGTTTAACGTTTACTGTTAATATTTATTGTTTATTTCACTTTTGTTTACTATCTACTTCACTTACTTTGGCAAAGATAACATGTGTTTCCCATGCCAATAAAGCCCTTGAATTGAATTGAATTGAGAGAGAGAGAGAGAGAGAGAGAGAGAGAGAGAGAGAGAGAGAGAGAGAGAGAGAGAGAGAGAGAGAGAGAGAGAGACCTGTTTATGTCCTGGCTGATTTGGAGGAGAAGGGGGAGGATAGGGGAGGTGGTGGATAACTACATTTCCTGAAACCTGATAATGACTGAGCTAAAGCATCCCCAGGCTTTCCTGTTCTCCTTTTCCTCTCAGTCTGTTTTAAGTGCTGTACATGGTGCTGTGTTGATTGTGATTAGGGTGAATTTGAAGAGATCGTTTTGGAGAGTAGCAGCTCAGATGAAGGCACTTTAATTTAGACGCTCTCTATAATGCAGGGGTATACGCAAGGTTTCCGGGGCGCATGCCACAGCTGCCTGTAGCAGATCAAAATTGTTATGTTAATGTTTAAGAAGGCAATAATTTCTTTGAAAACGCACATATGGAAACATAAGTGTGCGAGACAGGTGAGTCTGTGTGTGGAATACAGACTAAACTAAATGAGCTGCATACAGTTTATCAATGTGTTTAATCTTCTTAAGGATTGCATAGCATTGTGAATTCTGATTAGTATCCCTCTCCCCATCTCTCCTCCAACTCTCTCATTCACTACCTCTCACCTCCCTCTCCCTCTCTCTATCACTTCCCCCTCTTTCTCCCCCCCTCTCTCTCGATCTCTCTCCCTCCCCCTCTCTTTCTCTTCCTCTCCCTCTCTTTCTTTCTCTCTCTCTCTCTTTCTCTCTCTTTCTCTCTCTCTCTCTATATATATATTTATATAGGAGGCATACTCTGTGGCCAGACAGTTTAACCTGATCCCTCCGGTGTGTGAGCAGGCTGAGTACCATCTCTTCCAGAGGGAGAAGGTGGAGGTCCAGCTGCCAGAACTCTACCACAAGATAGGCAGGTGTCAATCATCCAGGCTGGTCACGCCCCTTCCCTCATCTGCTGGGGGTTCACACACACACACAACCAACCTCACATCTGCTACGTGATTGACGATTATTGTAATAAACTGATATAATAACATCCTCCTGAGAACACTCCACTCCCCTGACATCTGCAGGGGTTCATACTGGGGATTTCATGAGCGTCTGTTTGGTGTCTGTCTGACTGACAGCGTTAGAGATCTCACAGTTATCTGTCACTCCCTCCCTCTCTGTTCCCACATTCCCTCTGGTCTCCATGGTGACAGGTGTTGGGGCGATGACGTGGTCTCCGCTGGCCTGTGGCATCATCACGGGGAAGTACCAGAACGGCATCCCAGAAACCTCCAGGGCATCCATGAAGGTAAACCCTGTATCCACTCAACAAGCTCTCTCAGTCTCTAGCACTGGGATTGAACAAGCGAGCCTAGGAGCCAGAGCCTGCAGCTTGCGCCCATCCGTCATCCCCGTCCACAACGCCTTAGCAAACCGCAAGCCTACTTGATGGTAATAGCGCTCAACATTGCCCCTAGTGGCCGTTTTATAAAGTAATCTCCCGATGTCCTGGGTACCTGGACAGAAGTCGAATTTTGCCTTGGATCTTGAGTGACCTGGCTGATCCAGTGCCATCCACTGATCCGTCTGCTGGGACTGGATAGGGGAATTCAATATGGTGGAAATCTTCCTCTCCATTCCTCTTCTCATCTCCCTCTCTCCTCTCTCACTTTTTACTTCCCCTCTCTTTCTCTCCCTCCCTCATTCTCTCTCCCTATCCTCTCTTTCCCTCTCTCTCTCTCTCCCTCCCTCTCTCTGCAGTCGTATCAGTGGTTAAAGGAGAAGATCGTGAGTGAGGACGGGAGGAAACAGCAGGCTAAGCTGAAGGAGCTGGGACACATCGCTGAGAAACTGGGCTGTACTCTCCCTCAGCTGGCCGTGGGTGAGAGAGGAGCATGGGCACACACACACACACACACACACACACACACACACACACACACACACACACACACACACACACACGCAACTTTGTTTCAGTACTTAAGTATTAATGATGGTATGAGCACCAACAAGTGGATGTCAGCAGTACATTCAAATTCTATGAGGAATGCCATTATTGTCACACTAGATTAAACAACCCATAACTGTCCCCCGCTCTCTCCTTTCCATACTCTTTCCTTCTCTCCTTCCCTAGCCTGGTGTTTGAGGAACGAGGGGGTGAGCTCAGTCCTCCTGGGATCCTCCAGTCCAGATCAGCTAACAGAGAACCTGGGTGCCATACAGGTAATCACAGGAGGTTGATGGCACCTTCATTGGGGAGGACGGGCTCATGGTAATGATTGGAGCGGAATCAGTGGAATGGTATCAAACACAGGGTTTCCATGGTTTCCAGGTGTTTGATGCCATTCCATTTACTCCGTTCCGGCCATTATTATGAGCCGTCCTCCCCTCAGCAGCCTCCACTGGTAAACATACAAACACACACACACACACACACACACACACACACACACACACACACACACACACACACACACACACACAAATAAACATTTTTGGGGAGTAAAAATGTATTCCCATTCAAAATCCTATTTTCCCTAACCCCTAATCCTAACCCAAACCTTAACCTAACTTTAAAGCTGACCCTAACCTTTAATCTAACCTTAACCTTAACCCTAACCTTAAAGGGAAACTTCACCGATAGACACTTTTTGTGGTGTTTTTCCATAATAAGTGACGAAAGGGTGTTTCAGACATAATTATGCACTATAGCTGTCTTTTTTTTATTTTCACACCGGGAGAGTTCAACCAATGACGTCATTGGTTGATTGAGCCTGTTGTCTAATCTAAAAATGAATGGGGTCATGTTTTGTTGCAATTATTGTGGCCTTTGCGTTTCGTTGATTGCACGATCATACGATCACGCGAGTTGATATGGTTGTCCTTGTTCAATAGAGCCATTGGACTAGTCTCAACTATGTTTCTGTCTGCCACGACATTGCCGGATATCTAGGTTGACTCATTTTCCCTGGCTTTGTAAAGACTACAGCCTGATGGGAGCCCTTACTTCCTTGTTCCCACCCTCGAAGGCAGGCTTTCCAAAACAGGGGGCGGTACTAGTTTACAGGTTCACAGGAGCTATGTTACCATGCACTGTCTATCTAGACTGCTAAACAATTAGCTACAATGGCTGCTTCTGATGATTCCTCTGTCCAAGAAGATGACAAAACATATTTTGATGTTCTTTTAGATAGGAACATACAGCCCTATTTATTTATGCCAGAATACACTGAAAAGTCGTTGAGACGGCGAGAAAAAGGATTGTGAGACCAGCGAGCAGCTGCAGCAGCCTAGACCAGCTGTACCAGCAGTCAGGACGGTAAATGACAAATGAGTAAGTTGTTTTTCTGTGAGCATATTAGGCATTCTGTATTATACAACAACATCAGTCTAACTGAATATGGATGTTGTGTTGGTTGAATGTTCCAGGCAGGTTCCAGAAGGTTCTTCAGCTGGTGAACCTATTCTTGTGTTGGGTAATGGCAGCTGGTTTAGCAGGCTTTGGCGCTGTGGTGATGTTGGCAGGGATGTTGGGTTTGGGGGGCTGTGACTCTGACTCATAGTAGACAACCGTCTGGTCCTTTCTGCACTCCTCAGCCAGGTGGACAAGCCTCTCGTACACTTTCTTCACCACCAACTGCTTCGACCTCTTGCAGAATATTTGTTTTTACTGCAAGTCTCCCTGGAAAGACATGAAGACTGATCATGAGGATGTGTAACCATACAATAAACCATGGTCATCTGTAAACACAAGGGTACAGTAGACTGGTATGTGTCAATGATGGGGCATTGAGATGGGCTGTTAGCAAAGATGTGAAAAGTTTGAGGGGGGCTTGACTTGTAGACAGTCTAGTCGTGTATTGTTGTGTATGAGCACCTACAGTTGTGCTATTGAGTAGACGAGCACTGCCAGCAATAGAGTGAATAGGCTAGAAGAATATACGGGGGCGGTAAAGCCCCTCTCCCCCATGCCAAATAACTGACTGCAAGGGTGTGAAAAGTTTGAGGAGCACTTGTCTTGTAGACAGTTTAGGGTATTGGGGATTTGTCTTGTAGACAGTTTAGGGTATTGGGGATTTGTCTTGTAGACAGTTTAGGGTATTGGGGATTTGTCTTGTAGACAGTTTAGGGTATTGGGGATTTGTCTTGTAGACAGTTTACAAGACAAATCCCCAATACACTAGACAGTTCAGGGTATTGGGGATTTGTCTTGTAGACAGTTCAGGGTATTGGGGATTTGTCTTGTAGACAGTTTAGGGTATTGGGGATTTGTCTTGTAGACAGTTCAGGGTATTGGGGATTTGTCTTGTAGACAGTTTAGGGTATTGGGGATTTGTCTTGTAGACAGTTTAGGGTATTGGGGATTTGTCTTGTAGACAGTTCAGGGTATTGGGGATTTGTCTTGTAGACAGTTTAGGGTATTGGGGATTTGTCTTGTAGACAGTTTAGGGTATTGGGGATTTGTCTTGTAGACAGTTTAGGGTATTGGGGATTTGTCTTGTAGACAGTTTAGGGTATTGGGGATTTGTCTTGTAGACAGTTTAGGGTATTGGGGATTTGTCTTGTAGACAGTTTAGGGTATTGGGGATTTGTCTTGTAGACCGTTTAGTGTATTCGTGATTTTGTTTTCTCAAGAGGGTAGTGTGCTTTCATAAATACCTTTGGCTGTCCTGGCTTGTTTCAAAGTCAGATGCTGTTGTGCTGAGCTTCTACAGGCTGAACGCTTTCATCCAATGGGTCTACAGGCTCTGTACTACTACCCCCCCCCCCCCCCTTGATGTTGATGCCTCCGCCGATGTTGATGGATCGGACTCTAAATAGAACACAATCACGTTAGCCTCTGCAGTAGTTAGTTAGCTAGCTAGCTAGCTAATGGTTAGCTAACAAAACGAAGCTAACGTTAGCTTCCAAAGTTACAAATCATACCGCCAGTTAGCAGCTGCCTAATTACATTGATATGCTTTGGAATGTCTAGCCAGCGTATTATGAAAGCTAGCTAGCTAGCTTTTGGTTTAGATAAACAAATGTAGTTTGCTAGCAAACTAGCTAGTTAGCTAGGTAATGTTAGCTACGTTACCTCAGCTTGACTTATTTTCTGCTGCGCTGATGTTGGCTGATCGGATAGCTCCCTCTTTGAAGTGAAGGGGAAAATCGATAGAATATCATCACTTTTCAACGTTCGAGGACATGGCAACCCCATCAGTTGAGACTTCAGTTCCGTTTCCAAATCCTCTGGCTGAAAGTGCTGGCTACAGACATTTTTATATTTCTCACACCTCCACGGAGCGGTCCTCCACGTCCTGAAATCACTATGAATTCTGGATATTGTGGTTTGCTTAGAATCAGGCAATGTAGCTGGCCGTTTCAACCGGTGAGATGCATAAACGCTCCTATATGCATTTTTATGACACATATGATATGTTAATAACATATTAATGGATAAATATAGTGAAATCGAGCAGTGGTGAAATTTCCCTTTAACGCCAAACCCTTAACCTAATCCTTAAAGGTGCAATATGCAGGAATCGCTCTGCCATTTCCTGGTTGCTAAAATTCTAATAGTTCGCCTAATTTCAGTTTATGTGACAAAACAAGCACTCAGAGTGTAGAGAATCATTGTACCATCTAAACAGCTGTGAAATATATTTTCAATAACCAAAAATATTGTATTTTCAGCTGTTTGAAGCTGGTGTACAAAACCGAAAGTAAAAGAGGCAAAAACGGGAAGCACAGAAATATCTTACAGAGAACAGATCGGTCCGCCCAAAAAGTTACATATTGTAGCTTTAAGCCTAAAATAGCATTTTAACAAATTCAGGACATGAAAAAAGTCCTGACTTTTCAAAAAAGTTGTTGTTTTCCTACATTGTCAGGACATTCTGGTAACTTGTCAGGACATTATTGTTCTGATAATGTTGGAAAATATGAACACGCACACGCACACACATACACTCAAACACATTCTGCTATTTTCCACAGTTCCTTCCAAAAATGACGTCTCATGTGGTGTCGGACATTGATCACATACTGGGGAACAAGCCACACAGTAAGAAGGAGTACCGTTCCTAGACACCCAGAAGGAAGCAGAACCACTACTGTACAACCACTGTGGATCCAGTTCCACCAACCTCCTGGGCTCAGCCTCCATGGGGTTCGGCTCAGTCTAATCCAGCCCAGTTCAGCCCTGCTCAGCTCAGCCCAAGCCTTCTTAGCCCAGTGTAACCAAGCTTAGTTCAGTCTAACCCAGCTCACCCTCTGCCTAGACCAGATCCAGCTCAGCTTACTCTTATCAGTACATTCTCTGACTCCTGAGTTTATTAACCATGTAGATGCATGCTTCCCCTCTTTGGTGTGCCTGGACTTTCTCTTCAAAAGCACATGATACAAAACAACACAGAAGGGGGTTAATACTTATAATGTACCGTAAGCTTCTTCTACAATGCATTTTGAAAAACAAACTCCTCTCTCCAGCCAGTCTACTGTATTTGACCCCTGTTTGACCTTGCAAAGCAGAGCACCCTGGGACATTGAGTTTCAGTGACAGGGGTTTGTTCTGTCTGTGAGGGGAAGAATGTGCATGTTGTCGCCCCCCTCTGGTCGTATGAGGAACTGCTATGGAATATCTTCAATAGATTCTCAGCGAGAGAGATATGGAAAATCTCAATTGTATTTCCTTGGGAGAATCTCAATTGCACACTCCTCGAGTCCTCTCTCCTCGCCTCCTTCTCAAAACACATTGGTGGAGACGATCAGAGGGGCGGGACCTCTGGCTTTCTCATCCAATGGGTTTTGAGAAGGAGGCGAGGTGAGAGGAGGCGAAGAGTATGCAATTTAGATTTCCCCTTGACTCTTAGCGTCCTCTCTCCTCGCCTCCTTCTCAAAATCCATTGGAGGAGACGATCAGAGGGGCGGAACCTCTGACTTTCTCATCCAGTTGGTTTTGAGAAGGAGGCGAGGAGAGAGGATGCGATGAGTCAAGGAAAATCAATTAAGATTCCCAATGAGACACCTGAGTGAGCAGGTGGCCTCCTGTACTGTGCTGTATACTGTCTGTCCGCAGCCATAGAGGATACTCCTGCCTGTCAATTGAACCTGCATCGTTGATTGCTGATGTGAATCTGGGATAGCACGAGCAACTCTGTGAAACGACCTCCCACCAGACCAACGTTACCTGCCAGTGTTGCTTGTTTCAGTGATAATGCGAAAGATAGGTGAAGTATTTTCGAGAAATGTAAAGGCATATATTTATTCTATAATAGTTCGTGAAAATATGTTTCTTCTGTGTTGAAATATTTTGTCTTTCAGGGGTGTATATATTAAACTTTAAGGGGCAAACCTTGTAACATAAGCAGAACAGACCTCAAGCCCCCTATCTTGCCGATGAAAATAAAGTATTCTATAAATAATCTGTAAGTACTGTGTAAATAGTGTTCCACTGTTTCTCCTCTGTCAGCAGCACCATGCATCCATGGCTGTGTTTGGGCCTGATACAAGTCCTCCTCTGCTCCTGGGTTTACCCATTTTGCTAGGCTACTTTTCTTTAAAATAGACACAAGGTGGATTTAACATTTTATAAATAACTCATTATGGGAGGAATGAACAATGGATTTTTCCAAGCCTGCAGACAGTTGATGGCTTGCTTGGCAGATGGTTAAGTCCTACCACAGGAGGTTGCTGGCACCTGACTGGTTCAAATACCTGAGCCGTCAAGGTGAAACATCTGTCGATGTGCCCTTGAGCAAGGCACTTAACCCTAATTTGCTGGGGGGACGGACGGCTCATAGTAATGGCTGGAACGGCATTATTGGAATGGTATCGAACTCAATGTGTTTGATTTCACTCTATTCCAGCCATTATTATGAACCGTCCTCCCCTCAGCAGCCTCCTGTGACACTGTCCTACAGATTCTGTTTAACCTGGTCATCATCAATATCCAGTGTTAAGTTTATGATAATGTCCAGCCTTCTTGCTTTCAGATGGTTGCTGTATATGATGGTTTGCTTACACTTTGGACTGGAATCAATCCGTACCACGGAAGATCCGTGTTATAGCTCAATTTAAATTTAAAGGCAATGTTACTGCGTTCGCGGAGACTGCATTCAAGGCAAATGCTGCATTTGTCAGCGCAATCAAAAATTACCTTTACATTTACATTTTTACACGGATCTTCCCCGATACTGGATATGGATTGAATCCAGCCCTCACAGAGAGCAATAGTTAATGATAGATGTTGGCTAGATTCCAATCTGATGACTCTCCTAGGAAGGTGGCCAGTGATCAGATTTGGACCAGGCCTTTCAGTGTGTAGCGATCCACCCTGCAGCGTGCCTTGACATGAGCCCTGCTAACAGGGCACAGGTGCCCAGCCCCAAATTGACCCCTTCACCCCCATCCACTTAATGAAAGTATTTGCTAGGTATAGACAATGTTATAACAGCTCAGATCTACTCAAGCGCAGAGTAAAAGCTAGGTGTGGGTTTGAGATTTCTTGAGTTATCTGTGTGTGTCAATGGTCTGGTCCCATTCCCTTGACCCTATCACCTAAGCGTTCACAGCTCTGAAAGGAGCCGAAAGGTCGGTGTGATCTGTGGACATATAAAGGGGCTAGGGCAAGAAGCTAGTGGATTAAATGGAACTAGGCCTACAGGAATATGTCACCTGAACTCCCCCAGTTCTACTGACAATATAAACTATTGTATTAAAAGATAAAGACCGTTATGTTTTCTACAGTATGTAAAGATACCAGACCATTATAAAAGTGTTTTCTACAGTATGTGAAGTTATCAGGAGAGAGAACTATATTACTGACATAAACATCAGTCTATCTATCCACATCACTAATCGATTTCCTATCGTGTCGTGAGAACAGTGACCTCTCTGTAAATAGCATACATCAATTAATATGACGCTTCGTTAATAAATGCATAACGCCAATGATGAAGTCTATGGGTGTTTCATTCTTGGAAATGTAAATAAATTGTCTGAATATTTGCTGCTTGACAATAATAACCACACAACACACACAAAATGGTTCTTGATCTGACCACTTTAATTAAATCAGTACAAAAAGCAAAGGACAGACCTGGAGTGACCTCCAGACATTTGATCATGAATTTCATGAAAACTCACAGCTGAAATTCCATGATCATTTTATTCTCCTCCCATTCGTATATATAAAAAAAGAAAATCCCCTAGCTTCACCCCAACCATCCCTCCACACCACCCTCTTCTCAGTTGTTAATTTCTTTCCTCCTTTACTTGGATCCAGTGGACAGCAGGGCGATGAGGCCAGATGAGGCACTGATGGACAGGATGTAGTTACTGGGGAACAATGGGTTAAGGACAAATCATATCTGAGGAGCATATGCTGGGAGGAAACGGCAGGCAAGTAGTGAGGGAATAATGTGTCAGGCTTAGCTACATACTTATGGTGTATGGGTGAGCATTAAGAATCTCCTCCACTCAACCCCACTTCTCAGACATTATTCAGCCAGAGGTAAACGGCAATCCAGAAACGTAAACAGAATGCAGCCATGACAACCTGGAGCTTCAATACAGGATCTGTATTTGAACTGGTGATTGGCTAGGCCACAGACTACAGCCAATGAATAAGCAACTAAGTGTTTTCCTCCGAGTACTATAGCACAACAGGACAATGAGAATGCCAGGATGTAAGTCTAGCCTCGACAATCATTATTAGTCAAATTATTATCATTATTAGTAGATAGATCATCCATCTATTTTCAGCTTTAGTAAGCACCCATAGTTTCTACTGGAACTTTACCTGTCTAGTTAAATTGATGACGATGAATGTGCTCAAAGGATACACGGTGGGGTTGAAGTTCTTGAGCAGGAAGAAGGAGGCGATGATGACGAGGACCAGGAACAGAGTGTTGTTGTAGAAGATAGAGAAGGTGGTGGCCTCATAATCAGCTACCTCGTTCTTCTTCCACAGGATCCTAACATAGGGAAGGAAGGGTTCATCAACCATTTGTGCATGTGTCTGAGAATAGGGTTTCATGGGTAAGGCTATTGTTTGGTAGCCTAGCCACAGATCTGTTTGTGCTTTACCTACTCCATTGTCAAGCCATTAAGCAGACACTCTTATCCAGAGACTTACTGTAGTGAGTGGATACATTTTCATTTTTACTGGTCCCCCGTGGGAATCGAACCCACAACCTGGGGCGTTGCAAATGCCATGTTCTACCATCTGAGCCACACAGGACCATGACAATTCTATAGGGAGTTAGCAAGAGACCAGAAACAGACTGGTACCCAGGCTATATTAAAGAGACCAGAAACAGACTGGTACCCAGGCTATATTAAAGAAACCAGAAACAGACTGGTACCCAGGCTATATTAAAGAGACCAGAAACAGACTGGTACCCAGGCTATATTAAAGAGACCAGAAACAGACTGGTACCCAGGCTATATTAAAGAGACCAGAAACAGACTGGTACCCAGGCTATATTAAAGAGACCAGAAACAGACTGGCACCCAGGCTATATTAAAGAGACTAGAAACAGACTGGTACCCAGGCTATATTAAAGAGACCAGAAACAGACTGGTACCCAGGCTATATTAAAGAGACCAGAAACAGACTGGTACCCAGGCTATATTAAAGAGACCAGAAACAGACTGGTACCCAGGTTAGCTGTTTTGGTGAGAACACTGAGAACTGTCTGTTAGTGAGGTCTATAAATGAGCAACTGTGCAACCAAGAGCTCATCAGGCACCTTATCACCCTCCAGTAACCCACTCAGAGGAGTGATTGACATGTCCAGTCACAGACTGGCTGGCAGACTGACCTCTCATCCTTCTCCTTGCGAGACATCTTGCGGTTGTCAGCCTCAGAGAGTTTCCTGGTCACCTCCTTGGAGACGGCATCCTCTCGCTTCTGGGCAACTCTGTGCTCGAGAGACAAGGCACATTTAGAAATTAGGTACCAACTTACTACAGATTGATACCCAACTCACCATAACTCCAAGCATTGCAGAAATCGGAGGCAATCGTTTTAAGTGAGTGTTCATGTTTGTATGATGAACATACTTGTGTTTGAGGACGAACTTGACGTTCTTATAGGCGAAGGCCACCAGGTAGGTGCTGACCAGTGTCATGACTGCATACAGGACCGCTGACTGGACCAGGTCCATGTGCCAGATTCTCCAGAACAGCCCTGAACCACAACAAGGGAAGACCACAAACAGGGAGGGTCACCACAGTTCACACGAGCAATAACTACTCTGTTTATGATAGTATTACATATTAGTGCCACTGAACAGAATAGACTAGTTAACGTTAACTACCTACAATGACCTGACTGTTAGCTAATAAAGTCTGGGATAACGTAGCTAGTTAGCTAACTAGATAGCTAGTTACAACACCCAACACAACCACAATATCAATCTCAGCAAGCAAGTAGTTAACGTTAGCTAGTTAACTTGATAACTGTACCCGTCATATACTAGCTAGTTAGGTAGCTAAACTGGGTAATATATTAACCAGCGGTGGCGTACAGGATAGCTAACTTAGATAGCTACACGTCACGTAAGTTAGCTATGTCAGGTAGAAAGCTAGCTACGGGTAGTAGAATGTCCATTCAATGCAATGCATCTATGCTACAATTAGCTGCTAACCAGCTAGCGGTTTGGTCTTGCTACTTACAAATGGGAATTGCGGACACGATTAGCGCATTGCCGTAGAAAAGCGCGGTGGACTTTGCAGACAAGTTTCGGCTGAAGTCCTGGAGGAGTAGGTCTTCCTCTGATTGCTGTTTGCTGCTACCTTTGGGTGCCATGGTTCGTAAGTGTCCAACACGTCTCTAGCTCTACAGTGAAAGAAGACTGACACGTATGAGCAGAAGAGGTTTGAAAAAAACTTACGACGCGTCAGCACAAAAACGGAAATAGCTGTCTTTAGAACGAAAGTTGTCGCCGTAGTTTTCTGCTTCAGTGGTGATCCGCTTGGCCCTCGTAAATGGAAATGTCTAACATTGCCACCTACTGTTCTGGATGTTGAAAGATAAAAAAATAAGAAGAAAACAAATACATAAAACACCACCACCAGATGGTGATCTTTATCTATGGTAAAATTGTGTAATAAATACCCTACTTGCACTGAGTGGACAAAACATTAAGAACACCTTCCTAATATTGAGTTGCACCCCCACCTTTTGTCTTCAGAACAGCCTCAATTCGTCATGGCATGGACTCTACAAGGTGTTGAAAGCATTCCACAGGGATGCTGGCTCATGTTGACTCCAATGCTTCCCACAGTTGGCTGGAGGTTGTTTGGGTGGTGGACCGATCTTGATACACACGGAAAGCTGTTGAGCGTGAAAAACCCAGCAGCGTTGCAGTTCTTGACACAAACCGGTGCGCCTGGCACCTACTACCATACCCTGTTCAAAGGCACTGAAATATTTTGTCTTGCCCATTCACCCTCTGAACGGCACACATACACAATCCATGTCTTAATTGTCTCAAGGCTTAAAAGTCCTTCTTTAACCTGTCTCCTCCCCTTCATCTACACTATTTGAAGTGGATTTAACAAGTGACATCAAGAAGGGATCATAGCTTTCACCTGGATTCACATGGTCAGTCTATGTCATGGAAAGAGCAGGTGTTTTTGATGTTTTGTGCACTCAGTGTATTTGAGCTCTGCTATCTGGTGCTATGTAGCTGATAGACTTAGGTTTTGGGAAGATAATTCATAATTCAGCAATGCTGTCAAAAGCAGGATTTTGTGGTCCCAAGATTATTATGCGCATGAATTAAGTCTCTTAGAAGGCTGTGATATAGAGATGTAAGAGTGGATTTTAGTGTACTGTCTCCGGGTGGGGTAAGAGTACGTTTCAGCAGAACGTTTGTGAGTGTGTGTGTGTGTGTTAGGCAGTTGTAACTTATTCCCCGTCAACATATTATAACTTCAATTCAACTTATTCTAAGAGACTTCATTCTTGCGCATATTCATGACAGCTGTATTGAGACAGATGAGACAGGTGAGACAGGTGAGACAGGTGAGACAGGTGAGAGACAGATGAGACAGGTGAGAGACAGATGAGACAGGTTGGACAGGTGAGACAGGTGAGACAGATGAGACAGGTGAGAGACAGATGAGACAGGTGAGAGACAGATGAGACAAGTAGGACAGATGAGACAGCTGAGACAGATGAGACAGGTGAGAGACAGATGAGACAAGTTGGACAGGTGAGACAGCTGAGACAGATGAGACAGGTGAGAGACAGATGAGACAAGTTGGACAGGTGAGACAGCTGAGACAGATGAGACAGGTTGGACAGATGAGACAGGTGAGACAGATGAGACAGGTGAGAGACAGCTGAGACAGATGAGACAGGTGAGACAGGTGAGACAATGAGACAGGTTGGACAGATGAGACAGGTTGGACAGGTGAGACAGGTGAGACAGATGAGACAGGTAGGACAAATGAGAGACAGGTAGGACAGATGCGACCTGTGAGACAGATGAGCTTTGGGTGGTACAGAGTTGTAGAAAACTGAACTAGGGCACACACACAGGGGTGCCTCTCTTAGACGTGTCACGGACATTGCATGTCTGCCTCAGTGCTACGTTAGAGGAAAAGTAGAGAGAGAGAGGGCCTGAAGTCGCGAGCATAGTGCTTAACCCCCCGCCAGACGGCTGCGTGTGTCTGTGTGTGTTTGTCAGTTCTGTGGTGGGTGTGAGAATGCGACGCAGGCAGGCAGGCTTGCGTGATGCTGGCTTCTAACGATGAGAGCTTAGGGATTATGCATGCACTTCAGGGGTGTAGAGAGAGAGAGAGAGAGAGAGAGAGAGAGAGAGAGAGAGAGAGAGAGAGAGAGAGAGAGAGAGAGACCAACAGACAGACAGAAAGAGCAGCAGCGCAATGGAGAGACAGACAGAGACACAGACAGACAGACAGATGAATAAAAGTGATTCCATGATGCCTAAAGGCCTGCCAAGACAATACAATGTTATGTACTGTTGTTTCCTCCCCTCTCTCTCTATCCTCTCTCTCTCTCTCTCTCTCTCTCTCTCTCTCTCTCTCCTCAGCTCAGTTCAGCCCTAGTGATGCAGAAATCACTCATAATATGACTACAGGGTAGAATCATTCACACACGGAACATCTAACACGGAAACAGAAGTGAAACACATAACTCAGGGATGGCACTCACACACACTCACACACACACACCAGGGTCCTGCAGGCCAATGTGTCTGGGTGTGCTGGTGTGTTTGAGACCTCTGATCTAACCTGGAGGACCCTTTAAAGCAGATCACCCCATCAACATCATCTCTGTCTCCCCTACAGCTTGTATCTGCGTGCCTGCTCTGTCTGTCTGTGTGTGGGTAAGCCAGATATACAGACACTGAGCGGATGAGTAACATTATGTCGGCCCTAGGCCCCATGTAGCAGAAGCCTATTACCCCATTGAATGTGGAGTGTTATACCGCATTAAAGAGGTGCATCACCCGCAGACACAAGACACAAGACACAGAACACAACACGCACGCACGCACGCACACACACAGACACACAAACACCATTAATGATTCAAAAGAAGCAGGCGACAGGAAAATAATTTGACTGTCTAAGTGGCTAACCCCATCGTTCCCTGTCTGCATCTAAAAGTAGAGAGAGATAGATGGGTCTAGAAGGTTGTGGAGAGGACAGATCTCCCCAGCAGGTAACTCCAGGCACAGGGGGAGACTGGGGGACCTGCTGGATAATGACAGAATGAGGGGGTGAGGGGACAGGTGAGGTAGGGGGAGACTGGGGGACCTGCTGGATAATGACAGAATGAGGGGGTGAGGGGACAGGGGAGGCAGGGGGAAGACAGGAAGACCTGCGTGATGGCAGCCAGGGCACCATGCTGGTGTGACAGGCCCTGATGACATCGCTCCTGTCATCCGTCGCTTCCACTCATCCCCCTCTCCTCTCTCACTTGGCCAAACGGCACGCCGCTCCCTCCCTTTCTTTTGCATGCAGACGTCCGCTCAAAGCGTGCTTCTCTTCTATTCCTTTTTCAGCTCAAAGGAAGACAGCAAACGTGCTATTGGGGGTTACGGTGGTGAGGGGAGGAGGGACAGAGGGAGTCAAATATTCCTATTTTCAAAGGATGCTAGACATGTTTACACTTTGAGAACAGATTTTCTGTAAATAGTTTCTCCACTGTTTCCGTCACGTGTGTTTGTTTGTGCGTGAGTGTGCACAAGTGCGTAGTTGTGTGTGTGTGTGTGTGTGTGTGTGTCAGAGGTGGCTGGTGGGAGGAGCTATAGGAGGACAGACTCATTGCAATGGGTGGAGTGGAATAAATGGAACGGTATCAAACAGATCAAACATATGGAAACCAGTGTGTGTGTGTGTGTGTGTGTGTGTGTGTGTGTGTGTGTGTGTGTGTGTGTGTGTGTGTGTGTGTGTGTGTGTGTGTGTGTGTGTGTGTGTGTGTGTGTGCGTGTAGGTGTAAACTACACTACATTACCAAAAGTATGACGACTCTTGCTCGTTGAACATCTCATTCCAAAATCATGGCCATTAAAATGCTCTTCTGGGAAGGTTTTCCACTAGATGTTGGAACATTGCTGCAAGGACTTTCTTCCATTCAGCCACAAGAGCATTAGTGAGGTTGAGCACTGATGTTGGGCGATTAGGCCTGGCTCGAACAAACTTGAAAGCATAGAATCGTGTAGAATGTCATTGTATGCTGTAGCATTAAGATTTCCCTTCACTGGAACTAAGTTGCCTAGTCCGAACCATGAAAAACAGCCCCAGACCATTATTCCTCCTCCACCAAACTTTACAGTTGGCACTATGCATTTGGGCAGGTAGCGTTCTCCGGGCATCCGCCAAACCCAGATTTGTCCGTCGGACTGACAGATGGCGAAGCGTGATTCATCATTCCAGAGAGCATGTTTCCACTGCTCCAGAGTCCAATGGCGGCGAGCTTTTCACCACTCTAGCCGATGCTTGGCATTGCGCATGGTGATCTTAGGCTTGTGTGTGGCTGCTCGGCCATGGAAACCCATTTCATGAAGCTCCCGATGAACAGTTATTGTGCTGACGTTGCTTCCAGAGGCAGTTTGGAACTCGGTAGTGAGTGTTGCAGCAGAGGACAGATGGCGGTCCCGTTCTGTGAGCTTGTGTGGCCTACCACTTCGCGGCTGAGCTTTTGTTGCTCCTAGACGTTTCCACCTCACAATAACAGTACCTACAATTGACCGGGGCAGCTCTAACAAGGCAGAAATTTGACAAACTGACTTGTTGGAAAGGTGGCATCCTATGACGGTGCCACATTGAAAGTCACTGAGCTCTTCAGTAAGGCCATTCTACTGCCAGTGTTTGTCTATGGAGATTGCATGGCAGTGTGCTCGATTTTATACACCTGTCAGCAACAGGTGTGGCTGAAATAGCTGAATCCACTAATTTGAAGAGGTGTCCACATACTTTTGTATATATAGTGCAACTCTATATTTTGTCAAGTTTAATCTCTGTTCTCAGTACACTTCCTCCCTCCCTGGCTTTCTGCCTTGTAAGAAGTGAGGATGAGGATGGTAAGAAGAGGAGAGGGGGGACGATTCAGACTTAGGAAATCTATGCCTTTTTTACACATTTTGATTTAAGCACATCTCAGCGCACACTGAACAAATGTAATTCAACCACTGAAAACCATCCCACTTGCTGGCCAACAGATTTTCTTGTGAAGTTTTCATTCAATAGGGTTTTCAGTACATTTATCTAAAACCATCCCTTTAAATACGGTGTACCTTTAATTAGAATTTTCTCGACAGATTCATTAGAATATATAGAGAGAATGGGTTCTGAATATTAGGGATTAATGAAAGAAATCCATCTAAATACACACATATTTGTCTCCTTTCGTCTCCTTTGTAGCACCTATTGTTAGATTTATGCACAAAGTACATTCACCGGACGGTTTATTAGG